GGATAAGCTCTGGCTTTTTGGACCAAAAGGCTTTTCCACTGATAAATGCTATGCGTTCACTTTACTGTGTTAACCATATCATTTGCATAGTTTTATGAGTGAGCTGTCAGCCCATGATTGAAACAATAAGGTGAAAAGTGCTTTGAGCTGCCTTAAACTTACGCTGATATCTAATGAGAGGAGGTGCAAATTCTCTCCCTCTTCAGGCTCCTTGTTATCACAATCCATGCAAGAACGGGGGAAAATGTCGCCCAGTAATCGAAAAGTACGACTTCAATTGTCAGTGTACGGAACATTTTGGAGGAAAAAAATGCGATCTTCGTGAGTATTTCAATTTATTTTTTTCTCAGTTCGTGAGCGGGCGGTATTCTACAAATCCTGCTATCTGATTGGTTCCGATAACGGGCAGTATTCTCCCTATCCGGCCCACTCACAGCGGGAGGTTCTTTTCGCAACCATTTGTTAGGTTTAGAAAAAAATAAAAATGTTATTTACATCCCAAGGTCTGTCCGTATTGCGAAAAACTGTGCCCTCTGTCTTGTGTACCACCCTTGACCTACGGCCTCGGGCGGTATCCAAGACGTCGGGCATAGTTTTTCCCAATACGGACCTCCCGTCTGGTGAATAACATATATTTCTTTTCATTTTTAGTTAAGTTTATCTTGAATGTCTGCCCAAGTTTAACATTTTATAGATCGATTATCCTTGGTGTTTTACTTACAGCGAGAATTTCCCAAGGAAGCAATGTTTGCACATGGTTTTTGGAAAACGGATCGAACAAAAGTGGCATTTATCAAGTTGCAGCAGATGGGACTGACATCATCAGCATCTTTTGTGATCAAACCAATCAAGGAGGAGGTAACAAGGCTAATCGTTTCACTGAGCTGACATAGCTCGCTGCACCAGTCTACTCTCCAAATGATTTCTGTATCGAACTCAAAACCCTGGCATTACACTCTTACAGAGCTCCTCACATCGCAAAATCTTGGTGTATGAATGAGCTCCAAAATGAAAACGAAAAGGGGAGGTACTAGAGAAGAGGGAAAATTATTTTAAACAATTTATGGCAAAGAAACAGGTCGCGAGTAGTCGGAAATCCGGATTTATAATCCCTATGGTTTGCAAACTGATTCGGTTTGGTTAAATACTACGGTTGCAAGGATGAGTGTGCATTCGTTGGGTTACGAAGTGAGTTAGTGAGTTTTGAATTGAGAGAAAGTTCTAAGGAAAAATGGAAAGCTAAGCAAAACGCGTTAAATTAAGAAGGAAGCCTTCCATTTTTTTAATGGTACTCAACGGAATAATGGCTTTTACTACCAACGGTTGGAAGTTTGGCCAATTTACGGCTACGGTTGACCCCAAATGACACAAAATGACACGTTCTAGAAAAAAATTATGGTTTCCTTTCTTTATGACTAATGGTCAAAAATTTGTCATTTTTTAGGTCCAACGGCCTTTTTTGGTCGTTTCACGGCAAACGATTAACCCCATTGAGAACCTCTATTTATTTTTACCAGAAGTTTAGAAGTAGCCTAGATTTTATATCCTCGACGTAGTTTCCTGAATCGCGTGGGAGCCATCAAAAGACTCTCCAAATCACTAAGCCTAAACGTATTCCTTGATTCTGATCACTTGATTCAGTTTCGGAGTCAATAATATAAGTTCGCATGAGACATCTCGTAACCCATAAATTTCCAAAATTCCATTTATTTTTCCCACCACCTCAACTTTGGGCTTCGCTACACAACGAAAAATTACGTGTTACGTGTTTGCCAACAGGTTGGACTATGGTATTCAAGTTAGTGGCCGGTGTTTCAGCTGATATCTCTCGTCTGTAGTCCTCAGATGACCCTTTAAACGAAAACAACGCAGAGGTATTGAATACCACTTCAACGCCCAAAGAACATTACAAGAACCGCATGATAAGGAACTGGAATACCTTAGGACTAAAGGAGGTGAGAAAATTCCTGAAAATTTTCCGCGGTCATTATGATATGTGATACTGAGTATGATGATATATATGTATTTTTTTCTTTATGATCGCCATCTTTGGTATCACTATCGACCTTATAACCCTCGTTATCACCGCATTCACCGTCCACGTCATTTCTACGGTCATTGTCGTGGTTATCATTATCGCCGTCGTCATCGTTATTGTCATGTTCATCGTCAACGTCATTATCGTAATTATCGTCACCGCTATCGTCATTCTCATCCTCAAAGTTATCGTCGTTTTTCATCGTCATCGTCGTTGTCATCCTTAGTTAGTTTTTTTTCATCGTCATCGTCAATTTCATCATCATTGTCATCCTCAAAGTTATTGTCCTTTTCATCGTCATCGTCATTCTCGAAGTTATGGTCATCGTCATTGTCATCCTCATTGTCATCCTCATTGTAATTGTCATCCTCAAATTCATTGTCATTGTTATCATCGTCATCCTCAAACTTGTCATTTTTCATCGTCATCGTCATTTGTTATTAACATTGTTATTATCATTGTCATTGTTATTTGTCATTAACTTGTTATTATCATTGTCATTGTCATCGTCATTTGTTAGTAACATTGTCATAATCATCGTCATTGTCATTCTTACTGTCATTATCATTATCATTTTCATATTCGTTACCTTCGTCATCAGCACTGTTATCGTCTTGTTCTTC